TTTTACAGTTTTGAAAGTTGTTTGCTCTGTACTTCCTGTTTACTCAGGTAATACATCCTTGCATCTCTAATGGAGTTGAAGATTATAGTTTTACCGTTTTGTTACCAAATTCAGAAAACTCAAGAGATATAAAGTATATAAGGTTAGAGGCATAAAAGTTTAAGTTATCTAATAAAATAAGGTTTAAAGATATTTTTAGGTTGGTAAGACAAATTATGATAAAAAGTGGTTTAGGCATAAAACTTTGGAATCAAGATAGGCTAGATTTCTTCAAATTTGCCAAATACAAATCAGCCAAATATTGTAAATGTATTTTTTTTCCCTGATAATTGTTCTTAAACAGTTTTACTGTGTTGGAGTTAAAAACCTTCCTTTTTAGACAAAATGAAAGAAGTGTTGTGGAATTGTTTTATACACTGTAAAAATATGTCTCTGTCTAAGGCACTTTCTGATTGGTTTATTAGAGTTGAATAGCCAATAGCTAGGCAGGAGAGATTAGGAGGGATTTCCAGGGAGAGAGGAACTCTGGGAAGAAGTGGGAGATGCCATTGAGACAATGAGGAAGTCAGATGTACAGAACGAAGGAGCTAGAAAGCCATGTGGTAGAATTTAGGGTACAGAAGCAGGGCAATTTAAGTTCCAAGAGCTAGTTAGGAACAAGCCAAGGCTAAAAGACAAGCATCAGTAAGTTTCTGTGTCATTCTTTGGGAAATGGCAGTTCCAGGGATTCGGATATAAAAAGACCTGTTATAGTCTGTCTTTGCAACCTTTCTGTTGTATGGGTTTGGAGCATTTCTCATTATCTTCATATTTAGTTCCAATGTTTGTATTTGTAAGGAGGGTACTAGCAACCAGTACATAGCCCAGAAATGTTTATTATATATAGGTGCTATTCTCACACAAGCATGCACAACTGTCAATGATCTGGATTGGACACACACAGTTGTGACATAAAATTTGAATTCAGTCACCAATCATTGCCTTGACTCAGAAATTGATTTCTGTTGGATTAGCTAAAATATGGGTTTGCTATGGTATGTTGTCAGCTCTAAAGAATCTACAATTACTTGGGTTAACAGTCCTTCTGGATGTCTATTGGGGATTAACCTGATTACAGTAACTGGTGGGCAAAGATTCATCCTAATTATGGGTGGGACAATTAGATAGGCTGGGAACCCTCAAGAAAGAAAACTAAGTAGCAGCATGCCCTGTGGCTTTTTGTTCATTCTCTGTGCTACTAGCTGCTTTGAGATCATGCTGCCCTGACTGGCTATATATTGAATTCCATGAAGCTATTGTTAGGGTATTTTTTAATCACAAAGACAGAAAAAGTCTATATTCCTAAATAAGTACTTAAAATAGTGTATAGGTCATTTTGCAGTGTTCTTCAGTAACTTAGGCCACATCAGTTGGTGGTAGTTTTCCTAAGTCGTCTGTCATTTTCTACTTAATTACATCAAAAGGAAATCTGTATTTACCTCACCTTGCTTAGAGCTAGCTTTTGCTTTATATTCTGAAGGTAAAGATGTGCACCGTGAAACGGCCTTCAATTCGCTGATCTTTTATTATTCACAGCTTCCAAATACACTTCAGAAGCTAACTCATTTTATTCTTCAGATTTTTTTCTCTTCCCTCTTACTCAGAACCCGTTTCAATAGTTTAGCAGACAGGCACAACTTTTCATTAACTGGGGTGTTTGCAACATCACTACCAATACTGTTTGGCTTTCGTTACCCATGTTTCTCTGCTGTACTTCTTTTCAGAGTATGCAGGATTACCACTTTCTCATCCACAGGTTCATTACCTTTTGATTCCATTTTGAGGCCGATTTGGGGCTCAGTATAAATTAGCTTACCTTCAAGATGAGCTGGATCACTCAGTGCACCATACAGCCCTCTTGAAAAAGTACATTTCAGCTTCTCCCTTCCTCAATGGCATGTTAGTTGCATACTTTATATGAGACCCACCACAGATTATGCTTGCTAAACATTAAGTATATTCATATAGATGTTGTCCTATGCCATCAAAACTCAATGACAAGAGTATTTCACAGGCTTTTTCAGAGACCTAATGGTGAATTCTTTTAGCTCTTTAAGAGTAGGTTAGTACCAATCTATACTGTATTTTACGTTGCATGCTTGGCTTGCCTTGCATCTGCTAAATCAGTTGTTATCCTCTGCATTGTCCTCCTTAAAGACCATCTTTCTTTATTGCTGGCTTCCTTACACTTTATTATTCCAGCAACATGAAGACTGCTCTGGTACCTGCATGTACATTAGTGACACCTGGGGTTTATCTATTACTAATTTGCCCGGTAGCTTGGGAGCACTTATCCGGGTATCTTTCATGGTCACATATAGCAACTATTGTACTTGCAGGCAGCAGGGTCCAAACTCCTGACAACACACTTATCAAGCAAGGCTTCTCTGAAGCAGTCTCCTAACTCCACTGCTACAGGTCTCACTCACACCATTTGACAGTTCTTCCACCTACTTTCCTTTCTGCTGGAAGGGGAGATACATCAATGGACACAGGCCAATCTGAAAGAATTCACTAAATATAAAATAAGTGTCAAGTGTAGGCCCATGGAGAGATGAGCACATGGAAAAACAAGTCTTTCTTAGGGCTATTCTACATTCTGGAATAACATCTCCAACAAGAGGTACATTTTGCTATTTCTTCACTGGTTAAGTACAACTATTATTTAAAAACGTTAAGGATCAAAATGCACAAACTAAATGCTGAGGTTAACATTCCCAGGGAATGTAAGCTTCATAGATCAGAGGAGAGCGCCTTCCCTGTGTTCTTTTAAACCTAAAGCCCTATTCCATAGGGAGAAAAACAAACCTAACCCAGTGGAATAGGAAATAGTTATATGTGGTGGTTTGAATAAAAATGGCCCCCACAGATTTACAGGGAATGGAATTATTGGAGCTATGACCTTGTTGAAATTGTCACCAGGAGCAGGCTTTGAGATTTCAGTCACGAAAGTCAGGTCTAGTGTCTGTTACCTGAGGATTCATATGGAGAGCTCTTGGCTTCTTCTCCAGCACCATATCTGCCCACACACTGCCATGCTTCCCAACACGATGACAATGGATAAAACCTCTGAATTATAAGATAGCTCCAATTAAATGCTTTCCTATTTAAGAATTGTAGCCATAGTGTTTCTTCACAGCACTAGAAATTCTAAGACAGTATGACCTGGGCAGAATCCCTCAAACTGTCATCAATGACAAAGTGAATGACAAACTATCAAGACTAGAGGAGAATAAGGTGAATAAGATTGCACTTGTGAAGCTGAGGCAGGAGCACATGGAGCCTGTCTGGCCACATAGCAATTGTCTTCAAAAAACGAAGCCAGGATTTCATAGCAGGCCAGGGTATACTGGCTCGTTTTTCTTGTCAACTTGATATGATACAGTGTCACCTGGTAAGAGGTCACCTCAATTGAAGAACTGCCCAGATCTATATTGCCTATGGTCAAGTCTATGAGATATAACTTTAATTGATGACTAATGTGAGGGGCCCAGACTACTAGGGATGGCACTATCTCAGAGCAAGCAGACCTGGGGTATGTAAAAAAAGCTAGCTGAGCACAGGGCCAGTGAGTAGACAGTTAGCAAGCAGTATCCTCCATGACTCCTGCTATACTTCCTCAGTTAAAGGTGATGCTGCATGGACTAGCAAGCAGTCCTGCCTTCGAGTTACTGCCCTCCCTCCTAAGTTGCTTTTGTTCAGAATGTTTTATTACACAGCAACTGAGATTAAACTAAAATTGGGAGCCATTTTTCTTCAGCAAGCTAGTTGTTGGTAGGCTGACCCATGCTCATGTAGCAGTGATTGGCCTGTGGGTTATTTAAAGAGAGGGCATGAAGGTGGGAGGGGATCAGGTTAGTAGGGTCCCAGGGACTTGTGGGTGGATGTGGTCAAAATCCTTGCATATATGTATGAAAACTACTGAAGAAGAAATATGAAAAAAAGAAAAAGCAAACACAAGACATAAATCACTTATTTCTTAGTCCTAACAAACATGGACCCACACAGTATCAAGTACTGGAAATGGGGAAGTAGCTTATGTATATAATCTTTGCAACTTTTCTATGTAACACAGTTATCCCAAAAATGCCGACTTAAAGCTTCTTTTACCAAGTTACTATCCAAAAAAATATGTGAACTGTAGATGTTAATTTAGTTTTTTTATGTTTTAATTTTTTTAAATTTTTTTAGAAAGTAATTTTATTAATTAATTTGTTTTTTAATAAGAAATAATACTGAAATTTGGCATTAGACCTGGTTTTTAATTGCATTGTATTTTAATCTTACATGACTGCTGTAGTCTGGCTGGTGAGATGGCTCAATGGGTAAAGTCCTGGTCATCCAACAACATAGGACTGATGACCTGAAACAGCCATGAAAGTGGAGAGAATGGACTCCACAAAGTTGACCTCTGGCTTCCACTTCCATTCACACACATGAATGACAGAAAAAGTGTTATTTTCCAAAAATAATACCATTTCCAGGTCAATAAAACCATAATGGCATTCTTATTTTAAAACGTTTAACACCTGGGTCAAAACAAACAAAAAACCCACCAAAATTTAGGAAGCAGAGTCCTCCTTATCCTCTATCAGACTCTGCAATAGTGGTCCTGAGCTCCAGGCAACCAGGACATAATAGATTGGCAGCAAGCACTCAATCATCTTCCCAACTGTGGCCTTGTACTGACACCTTGTTCTGAATCCCAGTGGAAACACAGGGAACCTAAAAACACTGTTGAATGAGTAATTCTAGGACACTGATATTCTCTAACTGACCCCAGGGAGTGAAGTATACAATGTCCTGGTAGTAAGCCAACACAGATGCAAAATTCTGAGTAACATCCCTAAGCTGTTACCATGTTTGTTATGTCTGAAAGCAAGGATGATAAAGCAATCAGAAAAAAGCAATTAACAAAAGAAAAACCGCTATAATCTTAGAAGTGAACATTCAACCAGAGATTAAAATTTTCTAGTTTATTTCTAATAACCAACACTTGATGCTTGACTCACAGATTTTATTTACATTTGTCTACATTATCATTTCCCTATGAAATGAACTAGTACAGCTCAATTAAACCAAATCAAATCATAATCATCTCAACTGTTTGCTTGTAAACTCCTATTAGCTAAATTTATAATCTTGTATCTGCCTAGTACAGCCCAAGTTTTAAATACAGAAAGCACAAGAACAAACGAAGGCTAACACGTCGATCTAGAAGATCTGGGCAACTGAGAAAGTCGACTTTTGAGAAGTCTGAGGCACAATTACAAGAGAGTAAGAGCTCGTGTGCAACCTACAGTAAATGCAGCAAGGAAAATAAGACAAAAAACACAGGAAATCTTGTAAAAATATTACGAAAATATTTCTACATACGATATTCTGTTTTTATCTTTAGATCAATTGAGGTGAAAAACACTCACTTTAAAATAAAAACATTTTGTTTCATCTGTCTCTAAACATCTTAGAATGCTTTACTTATTTAAACTGCAGCAGACAATACTAAAGGAGGGGAAAACAGGAAACACAATTCCTGTAACAAGGAGCTCCAGCACAACTGCTGGTCCCTTGTATACTTACCTTGTTTGCTGCGGGAGAGACTTGTTAGGAGAAACCTTTTAACTTTTAAACCAGAGAACAAAATGGATCTCAAGTGACCAGATTTTAATTTTAGAAATAAAACTCTGAAAGCATTTTAAGCCATATGTTTTTTCAGGTGATAAAAAAATTTTCCTTAAATCAAGCAGAAATAAGAATTCTGTTACTTAGATATCTACAGTATTGAAAAAAAAAATCAGACATCTCAAGGCAAATCACGTCTGTCAGCCTGTCACTGAGAAACAGGCTTCAAAAGCTTTCTTCAATTTGCTCATTAACTATGATTTGGCCTTTTTTAAACCTTTATCAATCAAGCACAGTGTTTGTTAACTAGATTTTAAAAATATCCATATTTCTTAAACTTTTATTTCAGAGACATTCTGAATCAAGATGGATAACCTACTCCTCTGAGAATGCTAATATCCTCCTGCATTAAAAGTGGTGCAGAGCTGGCAGAGATAAGGATTCTAAGGCACCCTCAGTAGAGAGAACTCAAAGTTCCCGGTTGTCAGCTTTGCGATGTAGTTAATTTCTGATAAGAAATTACCGGCATAAGTAAACATAACCAGGTTGACCACTCCTCCCATATGAACATGAATTGGTTATTCCAACAAGTTTATTAGCCTTGCCTGCCCACGTGTCTGGCGTCCAGGCAAGCCCAGGCAACCTTGTCTCGGTCAATAGGACATTTAGAAATGAAAAGGACAAAGAAACAAAGTACTCTGTTACAGCTGTTTTTAAACGAAGCGAATGGTTGTAAATAATGAATAGAGAGCATCTGTCTGGGGAACAGTATGGCTTAAAATGCAATTTACTTCAATTTCACAAATAAACACAGTTTACTGTTTTGAAAAGCAATAAAGGCATGCACCTCTACTAGCAGATGTAGTAGCACTTCTGACCAAATGAGACATCAACTTCCTAAAAAATATGCTTCATGCACTGTATTCAATGTTTTTTAAAGATGTAAATTTTAATACATTATTTCTTTTTTGAACTTGAACGGGAACCAGAATGAGTTGATCCAGAAGACGACCTGTGGTGCCTGTAAGACACAAGAGAGCAGCGCAATCTGTAAACAGCACCGAGCTGAGCAAACACCAGAAAAGAGCAGAGCAAACACTAGGTATCTTGATGCTGGCAGGCGTAATTAAACCTAAGATGGCTTATATACACTTTTGGATGTGAGCCCAGAACTGATGTGATTTTTAACTCAAAACTTTCTACAAGTTAAGAATAAACACTCATTTCAAGTATAGCCACCTCTCAATTATTCTAGTAACAAAGGGAAAGCCTTGAAAAAAGTCTGCAATCATAGACATGTACAAGAAAGGCATATAATAAAATCAATGTCAGCTGTACCACAAAGAGCACACCAGGTTTCTATGTACATAGCGAGGTTTCTGGTGTATGAGAAGGTACACTCAAAGCAGTGAGGTTTTGGAAGTCTAGATCACATAAGGTGACTGTAGAGTTAGCTAACGTGCTAGAGTCATGCAGCCAATAGAGTAAGTCAGTATCAACCTGGGCAAAGTGGTGGTGTTCCGCAGGGGCTGGCCCTGGGCTCAGGGTTGTTTAATGTTTTCACCAATCACCTGGCTTATGGAATAGAGAACATTTGAATTAAGTTTAGATAACAACTGGGGCGGGGGGGGGGAGGTTATATGTGGCTAAGATAAAAATTTGCAGAAGTGGTAAGAAGGCATCAGAATGAATTTCACTTAAGTACACAGTAATTTTCTTGTAAAGAAACAATGTACAGAAAGTGTCAACGACATCTAACTCTGAGTGCAGGAACAACATGATTCCCACCCACTGACTCTGGCTGTCACCAGACTCTAATGATCATTCTTTTCTTTCACAAGCTGGGAGGACATGGAAAATTTGCTAAGATACAAATGCAGCTACAAATCATAAGACACTGAGAACCAAGAGAAAATTAGTGAAACCGAGTAATCAAGTCTGTTGCAGGCTGACTATGCACATGACAAGTGCATTGTAGGTACAGGCACCCAGTGAAGGTCCTTTTCAAAACAGAAAAAATAGATCTGGACTGCAAGATGAAAGAGGTGCTAACTACAAGGAATAATTTCCAAGGGCATAAGAGTCACTTGCTATGGAAACGCACTTATATGTATTTAAATGAGGACAAATTCCAATGATCTTGCAAGTTAACCCTGACTAGGTTCCCTAGAATCCCTACCATTTTGACTATTTTAATTTAAAAAACAAACACATGTAAGTTATTTAGACACACAGCTTTTGGATTTCAATCTTTAAGAACAAAAATAACCGAGAGTTGGCTATAATATATACATGGAAATAAAAATTCAAACAATAAAATGCTCAGAGAATAGTCTGTCCTATAAGTTTTTCTAAAGTTAATAACAAGATAAAGTACTCTGATTTCTGAAGTTTAAAGATAAAAAATATAATTGAAAGAACAAAGGAGAACAACCTAACCCTTGCTTAGAAAGTCCATCTATTCCATACATGTAAGAACTCCCATTCTTATGCTACAGAAACCCAAACCTTTCGGGTGACCGTGATCTCGTTCGTCTTTTTTTGCGAACAGCGGGTGAAGAAGGTCTAGAGCGACTCCTCTTCCTGTCTCTCTCAGGAGATGATGAAGAACTCGAGTAAGATCTTTTTCTTGGGGAGGAAGAGCCCCTGTGGGACCTGGAGCTGGATCTTCATTGATTGAGAGACAAAGCAGACGTTTCATTAAGGGCAGAAGTGCAGACTGTCCAGTTCCCAAAAGCAAACAGGACTGTCTATGAGAGCTTTGTAAGGAGGAATACTTACTGCTTACTCAGCAGAAGACTTCTGGGTCAACCTTCAACATGTTCTATTTATGCACAACCATTTTATCTTTAAAAAATTCTAAATATTTACCCCTTGTAATTAAAAAGCAGCTTACTGAATTAAGACAGAATAATTTTATAATTGCTTATAGCTTTACAACTTAAAGTATATAATTAGTGAAATCAGACGTAACTTCAATTCGGTGACTTTATGGTCAGAAATTAGATCCTTCCACTTTAGGAAAATCCACACTATGTAAAATCTACTGAGGACAATGAACTTAACTTCTTACAGGTAAGGTGCAGCAGAGAACCGAGGAACACAGCCCAGAAAGACAGAACACTATGTTGGGAAGTAGTCAAAGAAAATGGCAGCTTTAAAACTTGATTTGTGCTTAAATCTGTGCTATGAAATATGAAGTTGTGACATTCACATTTTAGATGGAAGTAGATGTAAAAATTTATAAATGCAAATCTATCCTCATTTACATATTTTGGTTGAAGGAATTTAGCTCAAACTTCCCAAAAAATTCACCTTTGGGCTTAAAATAAAATGAGAAAGCCCAAAAGGAGAATTCTTTGGAAAGTTGTAAGCAATTAAAATGTTTGGGAAGGATCTGAAGTCCTACAGTTCCCAAAGGGACCCACCAAGACTCAAGGGTTTGAAGGAAGCCCCGACATGTCAAGACACATAAGAAAGCACCTGTGCTCTACTGTACTGGCTCAGTGAGGGCACGCACCACTCTCCTCCTCAGTGGGACTCAACGGTAGTTGCCCTCAAACGCTAGAATGGGCTCAAGTAAGTGAACCTTTCTCCAGAAGAGCTGTTAGGAAACTTCAATGTGAATTCCCACAAGTGGGATTTTAGAGGCTTTCGTGTTAATGCTGCGTGCCTGCAGTAGACAACAATACAGTGACTTAACATAAAGGCAGCATATTTTGATGAAGTACAGAAATTTTTTTCAAGAAAGCAAAAAAAACCCTAGCGTTTCAATTGCTTCTTTACCAATCATTTCCCTTTGATATCTGAATAAACCCAACTGAAATGTTTACAGCATGGCTTATATCACATATGAGCTAACATCCTATTTGACTTAAGTTTTAAGAGGGATGATTGTTACACAGATAACTTATAATAGTCTTTAAAGTCAGGGAGACTGAGTAAACACATATAGCACTCAGTAGAAACCGAGATAAAAATGGCAAAGCTGTTTCTGCAAACAGCTGCCTGTAAAAAATCTATTCTGAAACTGCACACTGGACTAGTCTTCCTTTTTGTTTTAGCAATAACACATCATTTGTATGTCAAATTTAATAATGACTGTAAACATAATTTTACTACACTAGCTACCTGGTGGCCTCACCTCCCCACATTACACATCTTGGCTATGGATGTCCTGGCACACACTCAGAGGTGAGATTGAGCTGAGGCAAGGGTACCAGCTTCCTAGGGCTAAAATACAACTGCAAACAGAAACCGTGGTGAGGGAAAGCAACGGAGACTCCAGGAGCCTTAAGGACTTTCCTCTCTGACTTACAGAGAGGGGCTACCTCATTCACCTTGATTTCGAACCACGAGATCTGGAATGTTCTCTGGAACCGGAGTGAGACCTTGACTGCGAGCTGGAAGAGCTTCTTGAACGGGACCTGGAACAACACGGAAGCATTTTTTTTCCCTAGGACCACATTTTTGAGCTCTGTGATATGAACACTGAAAAAAAGACATATTAAAAGTGCATTTTTCACATAAAAGATGTCTATGCAAGATACATATTTTTCCAAGCAAAATACTCAAAACAAGGTTTTTTATAATAAAGATTAAGCTTAAAATTTGTTACAAAACAAAAAACAAAACGAAACAGTGCTGACTTTCTGAACCAGATTAAATCTAAGGCCCCTGGACTGTAAGCAAATGAGCACCACGAGCTCAGGCGTTTCAGTTTACACGAAGTTCTCCACAGTGCTCAGAAGCAGGAAACACTAACTGCTGCATCACACCTTTGACGGCTACTCTTCACTTGTCTGTCTTAGAGAATTAAAGGTACAACAAACCTAGCAGTGCTCTACATTAATTACATTACTGGCAAGAGTGTAGAATCTGGGAAATATAAGATTTATAGTCTGAAAACCACAAGTGACATCTCTGACACCATCTTTAGTTTGTCCCCACAAATAGGAACTGTCACACTTTTATCTAAAAATTACTTTTTTAAGGAAAGGGAGGGATTTGAGTTGAGCCTAGGGCCCCATACATAGATAAGGCTCTACCACTGCTGTGTATTCCCCAGCCTTCAAAATTACTCGTAAATAATATTGTTAGACTTTACCATACTAATTACGTAGTTGGTAACACATTTTATTCTTACATATGATTAAAAATAATTAGCCATTAATTCCGAACTGTATAATACATTTTTATAAATTACTAAATACATATTTACAGAAACCTAACATCCTGCTTTAATTTCTGGATACTTGAGAAGCATTAAGTACCCAATGGCTGGATTTCGTCCTTTATTCAGAAGAATACCAAAATAAATTATCAAAAATTATTAGTGTCATTAATGGCCAGAAATCTCCAGCTAAACCTCTAACACACGTAAACAAATACCCACTTGATAACGTCTGAACACACGCTATCTACTTAAATATATCATCACTTACACAGTGCTTTAGAACTTAAGTTACTCTAGTCAAAGCCAAGGTGACACAGAACAAGCAACTTCTAAGGTTTGAAATTTCTGAAAATACAAGGCAGTATCTGTAGGGTACAAAGATAAAGTCTAGCTAAGGTGACTTGACTGAAATACTTAAAATAAAAGGCGTATTTAAGTAAAATAAGGTTTATAAGTAGAAAGTTAGATACTGACATTTTGACTGGTGTTACCCTTGGCCTGCACCCGTTTACCTGGACCTGGACCTTGAACTTGAAGGGGAGGATGAGCGTGATGAAGATCTCGAGTGAGATGATCGAGACTTTGAGCGACTCCGCCTATTGGCTTTCTTTTTGTTACTATCTTCTTCTTCACTGGCATCAAGATTATATTTTGAGAGATCAGCATCATCTTCATCCTCATCCTAATAAAATTTTAATTCTATTTAGATATTTACATATTAATGATACCCACTGAAATAGATGAAACTTCATTATACAGGACATTATCAGATGATCTGTTACCAAATACTTCAATTTAAACTTATTTTCAATTTGAGGGCTTACCTACTAAACTCATTTGATAGAACAGACTTGAGAACTGGGCAGACAGTCTAGGCAAGATCCTAGAAGCTACCCCACTGGCTCTCAGGACATAAACAAACTGTCACCAATTTTGAATTTTGGCTGGAGTCCTTGGTCCACCACTACCAGCCTTTTTCTCTTCTCTCTGCTACAATAACCATTTGCTTGGTTCTGTGCCCCTAACACTTCAAGTTGCTAATCACATTGAAAAATAGGCACCCACTCTTCCATGAGCTTGGCTTAGAAGACTAAAAGATAATATATAATAAAGAGATAGACACGTACCATTTGCTTCTTAAAACACAAAACCTTTACATTCTAAGGTCTGCACTTGAGAGCCAGACCAAAACTCATACTATGGTGCACTCCTTACCTCTTTACCTCAAGACCCCGCCCCTCCCGCCCAGGCCCAAGCAAGTAGTGCTGCAAGGGTCCAGGTGTCACCAGAGGTACCCTGTGCTTCAGAACAGTTCCAGTAAGATAAAGCGGAACGAGGGCAGGGTCCTCACCTCATCCAGCTTATACTTAGACAGATCTTCATCCTCATCCTCTTCTTCTCCCTCTGACTCTTTATCTTCGACTTCCTTTAATATAGATGCAGGACCAACTGCCTTCCCCCTGTATTTTTTCTTTTTACGTCCAAACTAGAGAAAAACAAAAAAAAAAAATTTCTTTAGGCTGAAACACATGAAAATCATTTTATTTTCTAACACTATTTGTGCCCATGTGGAAAAAAATGTTGAAATTTGAGCCTGTAATCCCTGCACTTGCAGGTGGAGATGGAGGATCCCTTACTGGTCAGCCAATCCTGCCAACAGTTAAGTTCTAGGTCAATGAGAGAACCTGTCTCCAAAAACAAGATAAATATACCAATAGAGGAAGACTTCCAGTATCAACCTACAGCCTCTACAGACGCACAAGGGCACATACATGCCTACTACCATGTACTCGTGCAAGAGCATACACACATACACACACACCTCTTCTGAATTCTAGGCTATTCTATTTATTTTTATTATTTCTCTAACTTAAAATGGAGTCTGTGTACATCTACTGAGAGCTTACCTCATCATACTCCCCATCAGACTCTTCTCTTTCTATGTATTCAACATTTTCTCTTTCATTAAAACCACCGCCATATCCTTTAAAAAGAGGGCAGAAATTGTTGCAACCACTCAAATAACAAAATTTTTATGCTCATACTATTTCCAAGTAACAGAAAACAAAAACCTAATCAATGGTAGTTATTTATACAAATAATAATTAGTAATCTTTTACAAGGTAAAAATCCTGACAGAGAATAAGTCAGATCTACTTTAGTTGTAAAGCCACAGTAGAACTTACAGACCTTTTCAATTTAAACATTTCCCATGACAGGTCACTCATGAAAAATATATGCAGAACATCTTCTGCTATGACAAAGTTTTAGATGGACTTTCCTCTCCAGTATAACTCTTCAAGAACTAGGCTCATAAGAACCAGGATTAAACTTAGTATTTATCTGACAATGCAGACTTTGAAGGTAGGGTTAAGATGAACAAAGGACCAGGAAGCATTCAACTGAGGGGCACATCCTGATGTGGGCAGCACTAAACTCTTCAAGAGACCAGGTCTTAGGGGGAAATCACAAATCCAGTTAGGATATAATGAATTTGACAATTACACAACAATATAAAATAAGTAGCTTTATAGGAAGGTCAAAAATATCACATCTGGAAAAAACAAGTTTGGGTATTACAGTTCATCTAGTGTTACTTAAGACTTTGGGTTCAGAAGAAAATACACAGAAAACAAAGGCAAGAGAGAGGGTCCAAGGTAGATCTTTAAGGTGGAATACAGAATATAGTGAGAAACACAGAGCACTGACAGGAAGGAGATAATCAAAGTAGAACTTGCAGAAGGCAAAGCTGCCTCTGTGAGTTAAGAGGTAGAACCCCAGGAAAGAAGGAAAAAAACACCGAGAATGTTATGTAGTAAGTGTCATACATATTAAGAATTAAAAACAAACAAGCAAGCAAGCTAAGTGGGGAAAGAAAAGCTGGAAGAACTTGATTCAAAAGATCGATCTACCACTAGGCCCCTGATCCCCAGAAACCAAACAGGGACAGTGGTGTGAAGTTAGGGAGAAAAGGCAAACAGGGAAACAGTTTACCAACTTAAGAGCCTCTCATGCCGAGTATGAGCACTGTCTGTGACACAATCACATCTCAAGGAGATAATAGCTGTGTCAACTGCTGGCAATGGAAAATTACATTCTGCCAGAGGTTCAGCACCAACATACAGAAACAACAGTAGTCAACAACTGGCCAATACCACCTACACAATGATGAGGCTTTGGGACCCGTTCCCCAAAGCCCAATAGCTGACACACGTACAAAGAGTTTACAGCTCTTTGATAACATGATGTTCTCACAAAGGGCACCACCGACTTGAGTCACAGGACATGGAGCTATAAAGCTGGTGCTGGTCTGAAAGTTTTATTCTTACCGGCTAATTTCATAGTGGCAAAAGTTCCTACACTCACTATCCAAGGAAGAAAAAATAATTAACAGCCTTAACTCAGCTGCAAACCCTGCTAGTCATAAAGAGAGGCCTTTCCAGATATGCCCCATGGTGCAACAGGAACACAATGTTACGGGGTCGGATAGGATTCACAGTTCTTTCTAGCACACAAGCAAAAAAACACCACGGCTCGGTAGGTCACAGGACCTGGGGGGAGCCTGATACAATTACTCTGAAATATGGACACAGTTAAGGGATATATGTTGCCAAGAGATAGACATTAATACAGAAGCCAGCAGGCAGTCAATGCACAAGAGAACATGTGGAGAGCTTCCCTTTGAGCGGCACATGTATACCACATCCTTCCCGCTAAGACTCAGTGATCACCAAAGGTCGTGCAGTACACTGTGGCAGAACAGTTATTTGATGGACCCAGCTGCACAGCTGAAACATGAACTCACAGTGGCTGTGATTGCGGACACACTTAGTCCCAGCATGGATTGGGGAGGGGCTGGGAGGTTATTGATGGCCGCTAGGAAACACCTGCTCCATGTAAGCTGCATGCCCACGGGGCGTCACCAGGAGACCCATACACACAGTCAGCCCTAACGGTACTCAGTGGTTTAAAAAGGAGAGAGAGAGCACATGGGGCTGAGGAGTTAGGAGAGGAACTGGAGGTGAGGGAATGTCCGGCCTGCGAATTCCATCAAAACACATAGGCACATGTGAAATTTGCAAACAAAACCCCAACAACAACAGAAAAGAACTTACATCTTATGCTCTGTAACTTGTAGTTTTAAAGTTTTCTGGTAATTCAGAAATGTGACGAAGACTATGAATAAGTTTTACAGTATGCCTTTAAAGGTGTTTTTTACCTATCTGTCCCACTAGAACACATGCTATCATTACCAACCACCACACATCTAAACTAGGAGAGGGAGGCAGAAAAGCATTTCTGAAAGGACCCTAAGATTCCAAACGCTAGGGCAAGGCTGCCTAACACTGCTTCATAAACCCCAAAAAAAAATTGTTTTGAGTGCTAAGGGAAAAAAAATCCCAGTGAATAAATCAAGCATGGTGGTACATGCTTGTAATAGTAGCACACAGGAGGGAGAGGTCAAAGCTATTCCTGGTTATACATTAAGTTTGAGCCCAGCTAAGGCTACATAAACAGAACACATACATAAAACAAACCAGACAGATTGTGCTCTGTTGAGAAGGCAGTATTCCTTTAGAAATTGCGATTAGAATGTGGCTCTATTTTACCTGTTCTTTCTTCTAGCTTAGCATACTTTGGAGTATTACACATGTTACACTCCGATCTTCTGGCCCAATTCACATTACTGCAACTACAATTGTAAAAAAAACATCAAATCAGAAGGCCCCCAAACACTGAAGAAATATTATTAAAAGAATTATTCAAAAACTCTTTGGTGAAATAGCTAGTACCAAGCAATGTTCACTAAGTAATAAAAATTAAAAAACAAAACACAACATTGTTCTAGAGAACATGGATTCCCACAACAGCCTGAAGTAGGCAGAGAACAAATCTATTCAATATAAACAATACTCTGTGAAGTGACATAACTAGAGATTCGGCGACCCGGGGGAAAACACTAATTATCATCTCTGAATCTACCTTAAAGAGTAAGGGCTTACCTTTCAAATATGGCTACCGTTCTTATTCCCCTCTAAGGACCCCTCTGCAGCACACTAAATCCTGACTTACATTTGTTGCTCAACAACTCCTTGTACAGATTCAAGGTCTATCTATAGGACCAGCGTTTTATCTAAGATGTTTTTCTGGTCTGGTGCTTTTTCATATATGTAGGATTTTTATCTCATATATGAAAAAAAATCAATACAAAATGAAATCTAAATTTGAAAGACAAAAATATTAAGAAACATAACAAGAAACATTTTTCATGGGAGGCAATTTATGCTTCTCAAGTGACTTTCATATTATAAAGGGGCAATTATCACTAACAGGAAGTAGACTACACAGTGCCTTTACTGTCCCCATCCCTTTGGTTATCAGCTCATAAACACTCTACCACAGCAACAACTGCTAAGACCCCTGAAAGATAAACATTTCCTCTTCACTATACTTAGATGATGACCAATAAAGTTGTGGCTGAAAAGGATACAATGTTTTGTCATGTAATTAGTAAGAGTTCATCGTATTAATGAATGGTGATTGGAGGTATTTTCAATTGTGGTAACAGACAGCAATCTGAAGCACATACGTTTTGCACTGCCAGTCATTCGCACTAAACAAGCCCCGGCTCTTCTCTGCCAGTGTCTTTCCTATTTCTGTGCCCCCAGCTTTCATCATCTTGGCCTCAGTTGTTTTCTCTGAAAACAGACAAATAATGCAAGATAAACCCTGGGAAGTGAAGAAATGATCCACACAGACATTGGTAAGAGACTTGGCCATGAGCACTCACCTCGACCACATCTGTTACAGCTTGTTCTCCTAGCGAAGTTCACATTTCCACACCTGTAAATAAAATGAAAAGCACTTAAAGGAGTAATTCCTAAATATTAAAAATGTCCACATTTAAACTGTCTTCACTACATCCTGGAACACAGACCAAGCTGACCCCATCATGTTCATGAGCATCATTTGAGAGAAACAAGGACTGGATAAAAATCTCAACCTTGTATTGTCAACAACAGTAACCACTTCAGGATTTACCTTTCTAACTCCAGACTAGCACGTGTCATTAGCTACATTAAACTCCCCTGTTCCAAAGTGCCATCTGACTCTTCTTCAACAACTAAGGTACCAGAGATGGAAAAAGAACACCGAATTAATTCTCAGTTAAAGCTGTGAGGAACTTTAGAAGCACAATCCTAGGGACGGACCCACCAGGAAACACCAGGTATAGAGGCTCCGGAGAACTGATGCAGAGTCGGATGTAGGATGTTAAGAAAAATCATAGGCTATGTTAACTAAAAGTATACATTAAACAGTAATTTGAGTAGTATAGTGCTTATCAAACCTAAAACATCGAAAACCAAATCAAACTACAACCAACGGAGTCAAACATTATATTAAACACTAAAGGTTTTATATTTTATACTTACATGACCTTACTGATTACCAGTTAATGCATGTTAGATGCTCCAAATCGCATTTAATGTTTAAGTTAAGAAAAACAAGGGACCATCCGATTTAAAAAAAAAAAATGAGTATGTCAATGGAAGTTTAACACTAAACTGAACGACTCCATCCAACTTTTAGGTTGCTTTTCTGTTAAAAAAAAATATACAAGATCCAAGTAACCCTGAAAATATGTTCTGAAAAAATGTTTCCCTGAAGCATATATTCAGTAAAACTAACGTTTGTTTCTGTCAATGAGTTTAGGTGCACAGGACTACGAACGAAATATCTGAGTTGTGTTTTCAGTAAGAACACAGAGAGCACATTTTCTACAAGTCACGGAAGGCACCAAGTCAGAGGCTGGTGTCCTGATCTCTGAATGGTTCCAAAGTGTCACGCTGTTCCCTGTAATGTCCAAGAGGATCTCGGTTCTACTCTGCTAGACGGTTATCAATCAGGTGAATGTGAATACCGTCATTTCCTTGCTTTCCACTACACTACCTATGTTATTTCGGTGTTAACTGTAAGCGAGCCGAAGGGCTTCAAGTTAGACGCTCGGCAGCAGAGAGAACTGGGAGGCCACCCGGGCTTCCTCCAGCTAAGAACACGAGCTGGTACAACCGGGGAGATTTCCACTGCCACCAGCCGAGCACTCCGGCTTCAAAGCCACGTACGCGCTCGGGCCTCTGCCTCCGGGAAGGAGAGTGCGAAAAAAAAAAAAAAGCCAAAGTCACTGGGAAGGCTCAGCAGGCCCGAGAGCGCAGCAGCCGAGCTCGGAGGAGGGCGACCGAGCGCAGAGAGCCGAGCTCCGGGCGGGGGTCACGTGCGGCCGCCCGCGACCCGCTCAAGGCCGGCGGTGACCGTCCCGTCGCCCCCCATCCCCACCAAGGCCGTAAGCCCCGCCGCCGCCCTCAC